TTTAACAATAAATATTGTTAAACGCAATATTGCGCTTGTTTCAGATCTTTTATTTACAGTGTCACATAAGGTCAGCGAGATAAAATGTTCACAATAAAAATAACACTACATTACTACACAAATTATTCACTAAAATATGTTTTTAAAAGGTCTGAATTTTCTCTAACAAGTAAATTTATGAATAGTTCCGAATACGATAAATCACAAATTATAATCTGAAATGAACTTAACCAAGCTGTTGCTTTTTTCTCTTAGAATTGCTAATTCTGATAACAGATAGTATACCGGGTGTTGCATCGTCGGAGGGGACATAGGAAATCCCATGTAAATTTTAATGGGGTCAATTATTGGCTTCCCTAATTATTTTAGAGAATAATTCTATTTAGGTTAATTGAAGAGCACTAAAACCCACATTCAAAAGAATAACTTTAGATATTTTTGATTAGCTCGTTTACGAGTTATCGCGGATTTCTTTTTAAATATTTCTCCTTTCTTATGGCCCTGTATTTACTTATGAGCACCAGTCAAGGTAAAAGATAACTGTCAAATGAAGTTGTCATTTCAGAAATTTACCTATTTAGTGCTTTATTATTATTGAAAACTCATTCCTACATCGGAAATCTTAAAGATGTATTTATAAATACAAATTAATATGAATTAAATTAAAATAAAGTAATCAATTACAAGGTTAATTATAGTACTATTACAATATTCAATAACTTATTAATTTAGGTACTATTAAATTGTTAGAACTTTAGGATTTAAGAAGATGTTCAAATATTCCTCCATCGTCTGCTAGACAATAACCCGGGCGATCATAAAATTCTCTTCTTACTACTAATTACTTCATGCTAGTTGGTAAACTGAAATTCTATTGCATTAGGCAGAAATAGCATTTTTTAACTCGTCTAGATTTAGGTATTTTTTATCCTTGTATATCCTGTTTTTTTAAATGGCCCCAGAGGTCTCATTTAACTTGTAAAGGAGATAAAAGAGTTTTAATGGACTATATAATACTCTAATTTTAGTATCATATACACAACCTGCTTTTTGTCAGGTAAGACGGTAGGTGTAGACTAAGCTTTAAAGTATTTTCGAACTTAAACGATACAAACGATAAAAACTATTTCTAAAAGACAAACATTTCACTTAGCGATTCGATGTCTAGAAAGCCTTCCATCAAAGGGATTTCTAAGGATGAAACGGATACTATTTCCAAGCTTCTTCGTACAACTGGTCTGTTATAGAGAATGTTTGTCTATATCAAGTTAAACAAACTCGAGTCTGTCATCGAGGATTGCTCTGCAAACTGAATGAAGCAACAAGTGACGTTGGATACGGCCGAGAAATAAAATTACAGATACCACAGCCTCAAAATAAAAATAAAAATAACGACTGTCTCTAACAGTAACTTTCTTATTTTAAATGGGTGCTTCCATTTTTTATTACATACTATAATACCGGGTGTTGCATCGTAGGACGGGACATAGGAAATCCCATGTAAATTTTAATGGGGTCAATTATTGGCTTCCCTAATTATTTTAGAGAATAATTCTATTTAGGTTTATTGAAGAGCACTAAAACCCACATTCAAAAGAATAACTTTAGATATTTTTGATTAGCTCGTTTACGAGTTATCGCGGATTTCTTTTTAAATATTTCTCCTTTCTTATGGCCCTGTATTTACTTATGAGCACCAGTCAAGGTAAAAGATAACTGTCAAATGAAGTTGTCATTTCAGAAATTTACCTATTTAGTGCTTTATTATTATTGAAAACTCATTCCTACATCGGAAATCTTAAAGATGTATTTGTAAATACAAATTAATATGAATTAAATTAAAATAAAGTAATCAATTACAAGGTTAATTATAGTACTATTACAATATTCCATAACTTATTAATTTAGGTACTATTAAATTGTTAGAACTTTAGGATTTAAGAAGATGTTCAAATATTCCTCCATCGACTGCTAGACAATAACCCAGGCGATCATAAAATTCTCTTCTTACATTCGCTAGTTGGTAAACTGAAATTCTATTGCATTCGGCAGAAATAGCATTTTTTAACTCGTCTAGATTTAGGTATTTTTTATCCTTGTATATCCTGTTTTTTAAAATGGCCCCAGAGGTCTCACTTAACTTGTACAGGAGATAGAGTTTTAATGGACTATATAATACTCTAATCTTAGTATCGTATACACAACCTTCTTTTTGTCCGGTAAGACGGTAGGTGTAGACTAAGCTTTAAAGTATTTTCAAACTCAAACGATACAAACGATAAAAACTATTTCTAAAAGACAAACATTTCACTTAGCGATTCGATGTCTAGAAAGCGTTCCATCAAAGGGATTTGTAAGAATGAAACGGATACTATTTCCAAGCTTCTTCGTACAACTGGTCTGTTATAGAGAATGTTTGTCTATATCAAGTTAAACAAACTCGAGTCTGTCATCGAGGATCGCTCTGCAAACTGAATGAAGCAACAAGTGACGTTGGATACGGCCGAGAAATAAAAACAGAAAACTTGGAATCTGTAGGGAAGTTACAGATGCCACAGCCTCAAAATAAAAATAAAAATAACGACTGTCTCTAGCAGTAACTTTCTTATTTTAAATGGGTGCCCCCATTTTTTAATACATACTATACCGAATACCGGGTGTTGCATAGTAAAACGGGACATAGGAAATCCCATGTAAATTTTAATGGGGTCAATTATTGACTTCCCTAATTATTTTAGAGAATAATTCTATTTAGGTTTATTGAAGAGCACTAAAACCCACATTCAAAAGAATAACTTTAGATATTTTTGATTAGCCCGTTTACGAGTTATCGCCGATTTCTTTTTAAATATTTCTCCTTTCTTATGGCCCCGTATTTACTTATGAGCACCAGTCAAGGTAAAAGATAACTGTCAAATGAAGTTGTCATTTCAGAAATTTATCTATTTAGTGCTTTATTATTGTTATTAAAAACTCATAGTACCTACACTGAAAATTTTAGCCATGAATTACACTACCGAAGAAAAAGTATTGATGATTAAGTGGTATTATCAAGGAAATAGTTATGAAAAGGTGTCGGACATGTTTGCTTCTCTGTATCCGAATAGACCGATACCTGGAAAATCTACAATCGCAACGAATATTCAGAGATTTGAGACCAAAGGTACCCTAATAAATAACTGCAGATGTGAAGCAAGGCAGGAACAAAGAGAAGATGCAAGAAATGATACCGACTTGGAAGTTTTATTGTGCGTGGAAGAGAACGATGGAAAGATCAGCACAAGGAAACTTGAGAATGAAATAGGAATAGATCACACTACACCGTTTCGAATTTTGAAACGACATAAATACTATTCCTTCAAATATGAATTTTAGTACTAGACAGAATAGCTTTTAGGCATATTAGACTAAAATAAAAACGTGGGGCCCATTAACTATTGCTGTAATACTTTCTTCTATACTAAGTGTGGATTGCATCGACTTACTATAATCGTAACTGGAGATTTTGACGATCAATAACCAGCCGTGGCGGCTTCACCAGCGAACGCCGAGCTCATGATCTACCAAAGTATAAAGATATGCTTTGCCATAAGTAGGATTTCAGAGGGGCCCCAAGTTTTTGTTCTAATATGCCTAAAAGCTATTCTGCCTAGTACTAAAATATTTCTGAACTAGAAGTTCAAAATACCTAATTGTTATTATTTTCTAGTTTTCAGTGCACATAAGATTTAACTTAAAAGTTTTTTTGATTTAACTTAAAAGTTTTATTTAACTTAAAAGTTTTTTTTCCGATTTTTTAGTTTTCATTCGCCTACCGGAAAAAAACGCCCGTCATAATAACCCCTTGCCCTTCGCGTCCGGCTAAGGTCGTTCTCCAGTCCCACGATATCATAAAAAAACAATTACCACCTGCCATTATCGTCCGGTGTACGAGCGAGGCCCAAAGTGCTCTCGCCTCAGTTTTTAGCACTCGAGTGGCTGTTAAAACGACTTAAAACCTATCTAGACGTAATGCACAATGGACGACCCGGGGTAAAAATGTTTGTCTTGGGCCGGCTGTTCATACAAGAGATGCATGCCGAGCTTTCGAACGTCGTCAAACATCAAAGAAACGGTTTACAAGGGAAAAAATATGTGGTTGAGATTTGGTTTAAAAAAAGGTAATCTATACTAATATATAAAATCCTTAAGTGACTGACTCACTGATTAATCACGATCTTGCTCAAACCCCTCAACGTAAGAAGCTCAATTTTGGCATACAGGTTGATTCTAGGGTGTAGAGGTTCGATAAGAAGGGATTTTTCGAAATTCCAGTTCCAAGGGGGTGAAACCACCCCTCAAATATTACAATATTTTTTATTTAAAAAACGGTCAAGTTTCCGAAAAAACGCTTAAACACGTATATTTTATATTGTTTTTTACATATTTTAAGATTTTATAAAAATGTATACAGGGTGTTTCGAAAAATCTGGTCATTGATTAATCACGATCCTGCTTAAAGCGCTTGACGTAAAAAGCTGATTTTTGAAAAACGGATTGACTTTAGGGTGTAGAGGTTCGATAACAACGGATTTTTCGAAACTCGAATTCTAAGGGGGTGAAACTACCCCTCAAAAATTAGAATATATTTTTATTTAAAAACCACTATTTAAACTCACGATAAAATACTTAACGAATTTATTTGTCTCACTCTGTACACACAACTTATATTATTTACAACACAATTTATGCAACTACTATTACTCTAACGGTATTTCGCGGTATTATCAAACTTCAGACTTCAGACTATCTTCAGACTCCCAACTGTCAAAGCGCGGGCCTTATATACCCCCTGGCGATGGTTTCTGGAATTTTCTAAAGAATTCTGTAATTTTCTTTTACTTCCTGGCGAATTCACCAGGTTCCTCAATGCACGTTACAGTTATGCAACCAGTAATACACCTTGACCTTAACAATATTTTAAAATGTTTAACATCCCTTAATTTTAAACTATAGCTTACCTTCAGGTCTTATCCTATCTATACTAGTTCGACTATAAGGAGGTGGTGGCGTTTCTGAAAAAAGAAAAACATATTATTATACACATAGCTATGTATTTACATTATTATTTATACAAATATACAGGGTGGTCCGAACAGTATTCTGGAAACTTGGGCAGCATATTCCACAGATAAAAATATGTAAAAATGTATGTGCTAAAATGCTTAGATTCGGAAATACAGGGTGTATAAGTCATATATAGATAATAGTCATCATATTACTTTCGATTTTTTCTAAATAATTTCTGAAGTAACGTCAATATTTGGGTAAAAATTGATATCTGAAAGTTTTTTGACATGAGAAATTTGATTTTGATGGCAATATGACGCCTAATTCTAGAGGGCGCCACCTACATATTTTTTTAACTGGTTTGAAGAGTAATCAATTTTCGTCCGTACCTGTATAAAACTACTGAGTAAAAAATATACATTTACGACGTTCATTACTAAAAAAAGGTTTCTTGGTAAAAATCGCTACGAGTAATGGTTCTCGAAATTTCTTTTTGCATTTTAGGACATACATTTATACGAACATTTTTACTTATTTTTATATGAAGAATCTGCTGCCGAAGCTTCCGGAATACAGTTCGGACCACCCTGTGTATAAATCTATATATTATTTTTGCATTTTCACAATTTCCGTGTAAGAATTGTTAAAATTCAATTTGTCAAAAATAGCGGATTGGTCAATACAAAACCGATAAAACTATATACACGAAAATCCCACGAAGCGAAGCATGCGATAACGAGAGTAGTCCGTCCGCCCGTCGTCCTTTCTAGAGACGGCGGCGGTACCCACGTACCACCGCCACCGCTAATTATAAAAAAGAACCAAGTGGAACGGCGGAGAGCAGATGAGATAGCCGTGGCGCCGACCCAACAATCTGATGGGTGGCATTCGTCTGCGGTCGAGGCAGTACCAGGCCAGATAATATGATGGGTTCTTTCCCGTCGATCCGGTACCTGCGGTTCGCCAAAACCATCGATTTACATTCACGAACATCGCGATGATGGATCGAGGAAAGTATAAACATAAAATAAAGACAATTTGTTTAATATTGTTTTAAATCAATCTATACTAATATACAGTGGTGGCCAAAAGTATGGAAACTTTTTTAATTTGTCATTTATGCTGAGAAATTAAAATATGAAATAAAACGACTTATATAATCGTGACCTACAAATAATTTCCTACAAAACCTAATACATTTAAATTAAAAATTACAGCTATCAAAAAATATATAAAAAATTATGAATATTTTCTTGGTCAAAAGTATGGAAACTTAAGAAGAATGTTTATTAAAATTCAAGATAATATAAAAATTACTAATATTTAGTGGAATATCCCTTTGAATTAATTACTTCTCTACATCTTCATGGCATCGAATCGATCAATCTCGTACAATCTTTACTGGAAATGGCCGCCCATTCAGTTTTTAGCACTTCCCATAATTCATTTTTATTTGAAATAGAATGGCTTCGAATTTTGCTATCCAAATGGTCCCATAAATTTTCTATGGGGTTAAGATCCAGAGACTGTGAGGGCCAATCCATTAGTGGAACATTATGTTCATTTAACCAATTTTGAACAAACCGAGATTTGTGCTTGGGATCATTGTCTTGCTGGCAACCATCTGAGTGGCATTTCTTCATCAGCATGAGGCAGCATATTATTCTCCAATATGTCTTTGTACAAAAAACGGTCCATTATCCCATCAATTTTAACAAGAGGACCAACACCTGAGCGATAAAAACACCCCCATACCATTGTACTCCCACCCCTATGTTTTACTGTGGGCGTCTGGTATTTATGGCTGTACCGTATACCTTTTGGTCTTCGGACATAACGTCTCCCGTCACTACCAGTTGAAACTTGCTTTCGTCGCTAAACAGTACAGTATTCCATTTCTGATAAGACCAGGTGAGATGATCTTGAGCAAATTTAAAGCGGGCCATCCTATTTTTCTTTGGTATTAGTGATTTCTTCACCGCAACTCTTCCAAAAAGTCCCATGTCATCCAACCTTCTTCTCACCGTGCGTGCGGACACCGATATTCCCCTTTCACCCATTTCTCGAGAAATGTCTGTGGATGTTTTTTTGGATCTCCCATTGATATTCTCTTCATTACTTTCATTGTCCTGTTGCACAACTTTCTTGGTCTTCCTGACTTAAAAGCTGTTGAAACGTTCCCTGTTTTATTAAATTTACGAATTATTTTCGAAACGGTGCCTTTTAAAATGTTTAAATTTTTACTTTTTGAATTTGTTTATAACCGCTCTTGTATAATTCAACTATTTTTATTTTTTTAAATCCGTAGAAATATTTAGACTTGGGCATGATGTTTATATTTATCTGAAGCAAATCGTACCGTTTATCAGCTTAAACTAAATAATTTTAATGTATTTATTTATGGTTTCCATACTTTTGGCTACAAGAAATCTATTGTTCTCCTACAAAAACTGCTAAACAGATTTTTTTCGCTGTGTAATTTTTAGAATACTTTTATTTGCTGATAAACTGTTCATTTATATTCCTGAGAGTTTAAGCATAGCAATATTTTCTGTGATATTTTAAAAAGTAAAAAGTTTCCATACTTTTGGCCACCACTGTATATAAAATCCTTTAGTGACTGACTCACTGATTAATCACGATGCTGCTCAAACCACTCAACGTAAGAAGCTCAATTTTGGCATACAGGCTGATTCTAGAGTGTACAGGTTCCATAAGAAAGGATTTTTCGAAATTCCAGTTCCAAGGGGGTGAAACCACCGCACCGTTCAAATATTACAATATTTTTTATTTCAAAAACGATTAAGTTTCCGAAAAAAACGCTTAAACACGTATATTTTAATTTGTTTTTACATATTTTAAGATTTTTTAAAAATGTATACAGGGTGTTTCGAAAAATCTGGTCATTGATTAATCACGATCCTGCTTAAACCGCTTGACGTAAAAAGCTGATTTTTGGAAAACGGATTGATTTTAGGGTGTAGAGGTTCGATAAGAAGGGATTTTTCGAAACTCGAATTCTAAGGGGGTGAAACCACCCCTCAAATATTAGAATATTTTTTATTTAAAAACCGGTGAGTTTTTCGAAAAAACTCTTAAATACGTATATTTTATTTTGTTGTTTTACATATTTTAAAATTTTTTAAAAATTTATACAGGGTGTTTTATAAAATATGACTACTGAGTAATCACGATTCTGCTTAAACTGCTTGACGTTTAAAGCTGATTTTTGGCAAACGGATTGACTGTGGCGTGTAGAGGTTAGATAAGGATGAGTTTCCCAAATCTCAAATTCCAAGAGTGTGACTTTACAAAAGTAATTGTAAATTCACTATAATTAAATGTTTTAATTTGTTGTAACTTTATAGTAAAAAAGTTATAGTAAACAAGAAGTTGGCAATTTTAAAAGATAAATTTACAATGAATAAGTAAATTTACTATGAGACACACATTTTTTAAATAAATTCACGACGAATATTGGTTTGGTTTGGTTTGGTTAAGTACATACATGCCACAAATTAACCATACAGCGATTTTACAAACGAATTGTAAATCTAAAGAATGGATGGTAAATTTACTACAATAATCTCTGGCAAGATATAACCCTCAATATTGTTATTAAATTTACAATTTTTTCAGAGTAGTATAGACACAGGCCCATGAGTTGGAAATATTGAAATAGTTAAAATATTGATAACACTTTTGAGTGCCTTCAAGAATCGCAATGAAACGAAGTGTTGTTACATGTAAAATTGCAGTTTTAGGTAAAATTTTAAAAGCAATTCTGATAGTTATGATACAAAACAGGTTTGATATAAATAGTATTTTGTTTAATTGTTCAATCTTGTTCCACATTAACCTCGATCGCAACTTGGCGCCACCGGTAAATAAAAAACAGGACAGAAAAAAAACCAAAAGCCGTCCGCGTATCGAATGTGCGCGGGACCCGCATTTTCCAAAATAAACATCTGGTCGTGCTTCTCTTTCTTCTTCTTCAGCTTCTTCGGAACAATTCGAGTACCCAGAACCGCCACCGGCGGCTTCTTTCTGGGAACCGTCCCGTCCGTCTGCCGCAAGTCGTACCGTCTCTTGTCTCGGCGGCATTTTTTTCCTCTTGTTCACTGTCTCCTGCCCGTTTCCGAGAGTCGGCGATGTTCGGGATTTTATCGACGTAGGTTACATCGATCGATTTTTTTCAGCGTCTAGTTTTTTTGTGGTACGGACAGGGACGAAAAAGAACTACATCGGAACATGGAACCACGTCCAATGTGAAATATTACATAACTCATGCTCATTTGCATTTTTTTTTGAAAAGCTGTTTGGTTCGGTGGTCTCTTTTAATATCATCATTAATTCATCAAATCAATATCCACCTGCCAACTTCAAAAAAAATCGGTAAAAAAACTTTTAAGTTAAACGGTTTTATCTTATGTGCACTGAAAACTAGAAAATAATAAGAACAATTAGGTATTTTGAACTTCTAGTTCAGAAATATTTTAGTACTAGGCAGAATAGCTTTTAGGCATATTAGACTAAAATAAAAACGTGGGGCCCCTCTGAAATCCTACCTATGGCAAAGCATATCTTTATACTTTGGTAGATCATGAGCTCGGCGTTCGCTGGTGAAGCCGCCACGGCTGGTTATTGATTGTCAAAATCTCCAGTTACGATTATAGTAAGTCGATGCAATCCACACTTAGTATAGAAGAAAGTATTACAGCAATAGTTAATGGGCCCCATGTTTTTATTTTAGTCTAATATGCCTAAAAGCTATTCTGCCTAGTACTAAAATATTTCTGAACTAGAAGTTCAAAATACCTAATTGTTATTATTATTTTCTAGTTTTCAGTGCACATAAGATAAAACCGTTTAACTTAAAAGTATTTTTACCGATTTTTTATTTTCTAGTTTTTAGTATTTAACGGAAATGCCTACCGAATATTCCTCATTCTATTTAATTCATTTAGTGCATCATTATTACATGGTTTTTTACCTGATAATTTAT